TAGAATAGAATAGAATAGAATAGAATAGAATAGAATAGAATAGAATACATTCATCAAGAACCGTAAGATACAACACTTAGTGATAGTCATAGGTTACTAATCAGCAATCAAATCATACTAGAAAACAATAAAACAATATAAATTGTAAGGATACAACATGGTTACTTTATTCCTTTATTGTGATTGCACCTTGTACAATGAAATTAAATGCCATCTTCAGTGTACCTTATACATACAAAAACAAGACAAAAACAGACATCCTTTGCATTCTATACAACTGAACTGAAAACCTTTGATATTGCGTTAATGTTGCACTATACAGCAGAATTCAGCTCTGGGATAGCAGCTGTTTTTCAGCTTGTTTGTCCTTGATTTTAATGTCCTGCACTATCTGCCAGGTAGTCCTTGAATTTGGACCAGAATTGGCAGCAGAATTTCTGTGGTTAAGCAAGGCCGTTGCTAAGGAAGCTGCGCTAGATTTGGTCGCCTTTTTGGCATGTCAATTGTTCAACGAATCACATTTTGCAAACCTGAGTTGGCTTGTCGGAAGGAAGCCGGCTGGGAGGGTCTATAGATTGCTATAGATTAACAGAGTTGGAAAGAACCTTGTAGGTCATCTAGTCCAACCCCCACCCAAGCAGGAGACCCTGCACCATTTCTGACAGGTGGAAGTCCAGTCTCTTCTTGAAAGCCTCCAGGGATGAAGCTTCCACAACTTCTGAAGGCAACTTTTGTTCCATGGGTTGATGGTTCTCACTGTCAGAAAGTATCTCCTTATTTCCAGGTTGAATCTCTCCTTGTTCAGTTTCCATCCATTATTCCTTGTCTGGCCTTCGGGTGCTTTGGAGAATAGCTTGACCCCTTCCTCCTCTCTGTGGCAGCCCCTCAAATATTGGAAGATGCTCTCCTGTCTCGCCTGGTCCTTCTCTTCCTTAGAGTAGCCATGTTGATCACAGGAGCCCAAGACCATAGGTTGTAAAGACATGCTGGTTGCCAGATGCCCCAAGCTTTGATCAGCTGGTTTACCGGGATTTGGTTACCGTGGGGAAGCTGCAACGGTCGTAAACGGGGAGAACTGGTCATCAGTCACTGTTTTCGCTGCCGTTGTAACTTCTGTCACTAAATGAATGGGGACATGTTGAGGTTTACTTGTATGGAAGGCAACCACGGGAGAAGCTGGCCACCCAAAATTTGATTTGTGTAAGTGCCAAGGGCTATCAGTCTTGATGACCCTGGGGTGGCCCCTAAAGGATATTTGCTGAGTGACCAGTAGGCTTCCTTGGACAGTTGGTGGGCCACTAGAATTGTCCACCTTTGGTGGACATGAGGGATGACGGAGGAGGAGAAGGGAGAAGAAATGCAGGAAATTCTCGACTTGCAACCATTCGTTTACTGACTGTTACAACGGCTCTGAAAACAGTGACTTACGGCCATCATCCACACTTACGACCGTTCCGGCATCCCCTGAGTGGGTGGGTGTCTCTCCCAGTGGACATCTTCAGAGGTAGTGTGTTTGTGTGTGGTGGTTGTGTGGGTGGACTTCTGTGTGTGTGTGTGTGTGTGTGTGTGTGTGTGTGTGTGCGTCTCCCAATGGACACCTTCAGAGTGAATGTGTGTTTGTTGTGCGGGTGGACTTCTCTCCCAGTATTTGTGTGTGTGTGTGTGTGTGTCATCTTCAAAGTGAGTGAGTGTGTTAGTGTTTTTGTTGTGTTTGTTTGTGGGTGTCTATCTCTCCCAGTGGACATCTTCCGGGTGAGTGAGATTGTGCGTGTACGTGTTTGTGTCCCAGAGGACACCTTCGGAGTGAGTGAGTTTGTGCCTGTGTGTACATGTGTGTCTGTGTGTCTGTGTGTTGTGTCCCGTCTCAATGGACACCTCCTTCCAAAACCAGCAACCAGCAGTCTCGCTTCTTTTACAAGACAACAATCAAACCAGGGACGGACACACACACGCACACATGCACACACCCCACTGAAGGGGGCACTCGCCCCACAGTCCCAAGAGCAGAATTGATGCTCAACCCCAAAGACAACCCCACCCCAAATGCTACCCCCCCCCCCAAAAAAAAACCCTGAGGAAGGAACCCAAAAGGGGCTGGCACAACTCTGGAAGTTTTGTGCAAAATCCAGAGAGCTGGGGCAGTAAAGCAGAGAGGATTGGGGGGTGGGGGGGTTCCCTCCTTCCAGATGGTCCCAGGAGGAGGAGGAGGAGGAGGAAGGAGGAAGGGGGGGCCCTTGCACCAGACTACACCCCCCCTCAACCAAGCCAGGGAGGGGCTGGCCAGGTGAAGGGGGGGGGAAGGGGATGCATTTTAAGCAGTGATCGTTGTTTGTTGTTATCTTCCTGCCCTCCTTTCTCTCCCTCTCATCCCCTTTTCTTGGGAAGCCCCCCCTCCTTCTTTCCTCCCCCCCCCCACAAAGCTTGGGAGGCCCCCTCCCGCCTCCTTCCTTCCTCTTTGCAGTGGTTTTGAACGGGGCAGCCTTATTTCAAAGGAGGGGCAGGGGAAGAAGATGGGGGGGGAGGATATGGGGGGGAGGGGGCCACTTTCTACGCAAGCAGGGCCAGCAGGTGGCGCGGATGGAGAAACTGGGGCAGTTGTGGGGTGGGGGGGGGGAGGAGGAGAGGAGTGGAGGATGGGTTGGTGGAAAGCAGAGGTCTCCGTTTTGCAAAGGGCTCCCTTTTGTTCTCACCTGAATCCAGGGGTTCCTGCTTGATGGAAAGCCGGGGGGGCTCCATGCCTGCCCCTCCGCTCGCTCCGACCGCCTCCCTCTCTCTCTTTTAGACCTCCATCGCCCCCCCTCCCTCTTCCCTTCCTCTCTTTTGCACCGATCGATCCCCCCCTCACCTCCTCCTCGCTCGGTTGCAATTGCATGCAATTTTTCAACTCTTTCCCCACCCCCGAATAATCATAAATAAAATGCAATATATATCTCTCTATATGTACATATATAGCGATCGATTCGGGCCGATAATTGCAAAAATCGCCTCGTCCGAGCCGCGCTTTTGCAAAGCGGGTGTCCCCCCACCACCACCACCACCACCCCCGTCCCTCCCCTTCTTTCTTCCCCGCCTGCGGCCGAGCGAGGCAGCGAGCAGGCTCCGGCTTAGCCAGGGTGGGGAAACCTTTCCCCCCGGGGCCCCTGGGGCTCCTTGCAAGGCTCCTGGGTAAATTTAAAGGGAACGCAGCCTATTTCTGCAGCGGGGGGTGGGGGCGCGGAGGGAGAAGGGGAACCAGAAGAGGGGAGGGTGGGGGGGGCGAAAGAAAACAAAAAAATAAAGATATTTATACACGGTGTGCGCCCGCCCCCCCCCCCTTCCCCCCCCCCCCCCTGCTAAATCGTGCAGGGATGCACGCGTGTGCGCATTGTATATTTTGCACGCTATTGGTGTTAATTTTGCACGCTATATTGTGCTAATCGGGTTTTCCCAGCGGACGGGGGGGGTAGGTGGGAAGGACGTGGCCCTTGTGCCCCCCCCTCTTCCATGGGCAGCATTCGCTGGTCGCTTTGCAACGGAGAGGGGGAATCGAGACGCGTGCACGCACACGTTCAGACGTGCCCAAACCCAGCTTTTTTTTTAAAAAAAAAAGCAGGGGCTCTCTGGAGAGAGCAGTCTCCCAACGATGGGACTACAAGGCCCATCCTCCTCCTCCTCATGCAGCACGGTCAGCGGGGAAGCTGGGCCCGGGAGAGTTTGGGGGACGCTCCCAAATTGCAAGCCCAGGAAGTGGGGGGTGGATGGAGGAGGGTTGCTGGGACTCCCCCCCCCGCGACCAGCAGCCCAGCCCCTGCAGGAGGAAGGGGGGCGTTTGTTTTCATCTTGTGATGGCATCAAAAGGGGCCGAAGTTCCACCGGTGAAGCTCACGCCATGCTGGAGAGAAGAGCCCGCTTTGCAAGCTGTCAAAGGCGGGAGGAGCCCAGAATTAACCTGGCCCCGTTGAAACAGCTGGGGGAGCTGACTTCGGGCGGAGGGAGGCTCATCGTACATTTAAATAAACCTTCCCTCTTTGCACGGTCGAGGCAGAGCTTCCCCGTTCAGGAGCAGCTTACCTGCAACTAGGAAGCAGGTAGAAACTGAGAAGTTCGCTTTCTATACGTCATTGCCTTGGGTTTTTTTTCCCTCTTCCCCCTCCCCAAATTGAGGGTCTTCATTAATGCAAAAAAAAAAAAAAAACGACTCGAGGGAGGACTTTTCACTCCCAATTCGCGTTGGGCTTCTTTTCTGCATTCTTTCCGAATGTTTTCCCCTGCAGTTGCGCCGCTTTCCCGACAGGTGGCAGCCGTCCTTGCCTCTCCGGCCTCTCTCATCCACGCTCTCCCACTCCACTCGGTCCCTTGTCGCCGATTGGCCTTGCGCCAGAAAAAGGGGCGGAGAAAGAAGCCGACGCGCGGCTGGCCATTGGCTGACGGGGGACCGGGCTCGCCGAACGTGAGAGCCAAGAGCAAAAAACAAAACAAAAACAGAGTATCCCCCTTAAAGCTCACGTGACGTCAACCGGAAAGGCGCCCTCCTGCCTCCGACGCCGCGTCTGCGCGCTCTCCATTGGGGCGGGCTTTCCATAGAGGCGCGGGAGGTTCTACAGACGGGCACGCGGCCCTCAGCCGCTCTAAAGCGGAAGTTCCGGCTACCTCTCCGGAGGGGGGGGGGGGAAAGGGAAGGCCCTTCGGACAATGGGACCATAGAGCAGCCAGGGAGCGGGAGTGGTCCGGCCGAAGGGGGCCGCTCTATGGGGCTGGGAGCCGCCATGCTCTATGATGCGCGGCGGGGGCCGCAGCCGCAGAAGCGCCGAGGAGGCCCAGCAGCTGCGCAGCCAGGTAGGAGCTCTCGGGATGGGGGGGGGGCTCCAGCCCCCACCGCCTCCCCCCCCCCCGCCCGGGGAGGGGCAAGGCAGCGGGAAAGCAGGGTAGCCCCTCAGTGTGGGGGGGGGGCGGCTATTCTCCCCGGGGGGGGGCTGGTATTAAACCCCCCCCCATTACTCACCTGAGAGGGGCTGAAGTAGCCCCCCCCATCCAAAAACATCCCTTGAGTGTATTCCCCCCCAAAAAAAGGACTTTGGGGGGCTTTTCATCCCCCCTGAAAAGCAAACCCCCCCCCCAAGATATGAGGAAGGGGCGGAGGTCTCTTCTCTCCCCCACCCCCGTTTACAAGTGGGGAGCTAAAAACTCCTCCTACATCCCCTTCCCCTCCAAAGACCCCCCCCCATTCCCCCATTTGCTTCTTTGGGCGCAGGAAAGAGGGGGAGGGGGGCAGCTCCATGCAGGTGCCAAATCACCTGGTTGGGGGGTGGAGGGGGCGAGAGGGGCGGGGGGGGGTGTCTCTCTCCCAGGTTCCATGAGCAGGTGGTCTTTCCCCCCCATTCAAAGACAACAAGGGGGGGAAACGTGGGGTGGGGGGGTGCATGCAAATAAAGCAGCTTCCCTGGCTTTGAGGTGGGGTGGGGGCTGCTCATCCCCACCTGGGGAGGTGTGGGGAAAGCCCCCTCAGGTGAGTCTGGAAGAGGTGGGCGAGGGAGGAGGAGATGCCTGGAAAAGGCTTGGAAAAGATGGAGGGGAAGGTTTGGGGAGGGGCAAATGAGGGGGGGGGAAGCCTGAAGAATATTTGTGGGAGGGGGCCGGAGGGTGAGGAGGGGCCGTTTGTCCCATGTTTAGGAGGCTGAGTGAGAATCTAAGCTGAACGGGTCCTTGGCTCTTCTGCTTAAAAAGTCCAGAACTGAATCTGAATGGAGACCAGAAAAATAAGAGAGAAGTGGATGTTGAAAAAAAAAAAACCCACACAAAAGCAAAACTCTATCTGATGGTGTGTGGGTGGGATTTTTTTTTTAATTGGGGGGGGGGGCATGCAGTGAATTTAGTGATTCACTAATTTGGAATTCAGGGGAAAGTAGAAAAAAACAGGGGTGGAAAGATGGCTGTGTGTGTGTGTGCGCGCAAACAAGTTTTGTGCATTGAGATTTGGTGGGATGAAAGATGAATTTAAACAAAGTGAGCGATAAGGCTGTGTTTGGAGCAAAAGGTTTCTTCTTCAGAGACAGAAAGTGAAATTATTCTGTCTTGATTGATAACGTAAGCTTCCCTTTAGGAATGTTTGTCCTCAAGGGGTGGGCAACTGATTATATTATCTTTTTTTCCCCCTTCTCTCTGATTTTGGTTAATGTCCTTTGTTTTAGTCTGTGCTGATTGGTTTCTGGAGCTGAGCCCTTTCGATCACCCAATTCAGGGAGTCCTTTGTTGTAGGTAAGACAATCCGAATTCTCTTGTTTTTGTGAAAGTCTCAGAAAGCGATGGCAGTCGGCTGACCAGGCCTCCGTTTAGAAGCTAATTAGTGACTAGCTTAGTTATTCAAGCTAGCTAGTGCTTGGTTGGAAGACTACTTGGTAATCCAAGGATTGTTGGTTAGACTAAATACTCCCTGGAAGAAAACCAGGACAGGCTATTTCCAAATTCCATAAGGTTTCCTTTCATTGCATATTGTACCAATTTAGACTTTTAACTTAGGCCAAAGCATAACCGCTTGTGTTGCCGTTTAACTGGGATCAGTAGGATAGACACAATATTTTGCATTCCATTATTTTTAACCTTGCATGGTTAACTTTCGAGCGGGAGGGTGCTTCTTTTATTTATGCTAAAAAAAAATTCCTGCAGGCAAAAAAAAAAGGATTAGAAATGGGGCTTTTTAAGTATTTTTTTTAACTTTTTTTTTTTAAAAAAAAATTGGATTTCCCAAGAAGAGCAAGTATATAATTGGCTTCAAACTGAACATCAGGGAATAGCCAGAACCTGCAAAGATGAAGTGAGGAAAGCTAAGGCTCAAACTGAATTAAGCCTTGTGACAAAAAGTCAAAAATAACAAAAAAAAGCTTCTTTCGACATGTAAAAAAGAAGAAAAAAGTCAAGGAATCGATAGTAATGGGGGAAAGTGGCAAGAAAGTGACCAGCAACAGAGAGAAAGCAGAACTTCTTAGTTCCTTTTTTTGTATCTGTCTTTACACAGAAGGGGGAACAAGAGTGCAACCTATCAAAACCAGGTTAGGAATAACAATATCTTAAAGAAAGCTAAAAGGGGTGTGGATGGTTTGTGAGTTGTGTTAACCTAATTAGGTCTTCCCGGGTTGGGCAGGTGATAGATCCTACTTTTCAGACCATCATCTTTCTTTTAATGACCCCATAATCCCTTGCGAAGTGGAGTCTAGGCAACTGAATGGAGCTAGCAATGCGTTTACTGGCCGGATGCCCTTCCTGCCACCGGTGCGGAGTTCTGTTCAGCAGATACATTCTCATTGCGCCCAGAGAGAGAAATAGCTGCCTCTACCTAGGATCAAACTCACAGCCTCCTGCTTATGAGGCGAGAGCTCCACCTCTAGGCCAGCGCACCCAAGATCCTACTTTCAGATGACCCTGTAAAGTTTCTTTGTTTGTTTGGAGCGTGACATCTTTGAGGAACACAATAACTGGTTTAGATTTAGGAGGGTTGTGATAATACAGTTGATTCTTGGACCGTGCACGTGAAACAGTCTCCAGTTTCCATGCGCTTGCCCTCACATTCCTTCCGAACCTCTTATGAAAAAAACAACAACGTACAGCTTGGGAAGGAGTTCTTTTGAGATGGGCAACCGTATAAATTAATTGAATAACTAAATAAATACACACCCGGGCTTCCTCCCTCCGCGCCTCTCATCTTGTGTAATAGTACAGGTTCCGTTTCACTTCATTTGCTCCTAAGATTTTTGTCCTTTTTAGTTTGCGTGCTCAAAACACAAAGCCTTTTTTGTCTCTTCAAAGTAAAATAGCAACCTTTGAAGTTGAGGAATCCAAAAGGGGGGGGGGGGGGGGGGGGAGTAAAAAAAAAATGGTGGCTTCTTTCAAAACCATTCTGCAAGGTTGTTGTTTTTGTGTAGACCCCGATTCTGCTTATTCCTCTCTTCTCACATTAATCTTTCCCCTCTTAGTTTCTACATTTAAATACAGGTAGTCCTCAACTTACACCTGTTTGTTTAATGATCATTCAACTGCAGAGATCTCCAAAATTGGGCACGTTAAGACTTGTGGACTTCAGCTCCCAGAATTCCTCAGCCAGCATGGCTGACGGAGAAATCCTGGAACCACAAATCTTACGGTTATGCCTGAGGAATTCTGGGAGTTGAAGTCCAACAGATTCACAGTTGGCAAGTTAAGGAAACTGCCTTAGGGCGTTATAAGAATGAGCTTCTTCCAGCTAGTGACTTGCTGGTTGAGTTTCTACGGTAGGAGGTCTCCCAACTTGGCAGCTTTGTGGACTTCAACTCCCAGAATTCTACCATGCTGGCTGGGGAATTCTGGGACTTGAAGTCCACACGTCTTAAAAAGTGGCCAAGTTGGGAGGCCTCTCCTACTGTATTGGCATAAATGGCAATTACGGTTGCAAAAGCCCAACATCTACCCCCCCCCCAAAAAAAAAAACCCACTAGATGAGAAAAAAGCAGATCTATTTAATGTCTGAATACATGCTGGTAGATAGCAGATGTTATGGTTTTGGGGAATGACCTTGAGGAATTGGCTGAAAAGATGCTGCCTAGGGACCGGTCAGATAAGAGGCCTCAGCCGGACAATGGACAGAACAAGAAGCTCAAGAGAGACATCCTTCCCTAAGCTCACAATATCCCGCTAATGTAGATGTACAATAAACTAGAATTGGATTATCTGGCTCTGCCTCTTGTGTGGTCTCTCTGGTTAGACCGACGCTGTTATCTAAAACTATAGATACAGATGTTCCCTTAAGGGACTGGTGGAGTCCTTGGCTGCTATCAATAGGCCTTGATTCAGCCTGAAACCTGCTTTGTCTGTTGGGAAAGTCCCTTCACTGGGGTGTGTTGAAATGCCCAAATCTTGGGGCCTTGGCAGCAAGCCGGGATAAACCTTTTCGTGTTCGTTGAGAAGAACTTCGGCTGTTTGATTGTGGTTTGTTAACCAGGCGCAAGGACAGCCAGCTAAAAAGGACGGGCGAGCTGCTTCTCTTTCGTAGTTAGCTGCTGGTGTGTTTGCAGTAAAAGCCTGCAAAGGAAATCAGACCGTGGTCTGTTTCTCTGCCTAAGCCTCCCTTCTATATAGGCAGGCCTCGTTTAGTGACTGTTCAGTGAAAGTTGCAACGGCCCTGAACAAGGGGACCTGCGAGTCTTTTCCAGACTTAGACAACTGAGGCAGCGTTCCCATGGTCACGGGATCCAAATCCAGACTCTTGGCAACTTATCGTGTTTATGACGGTGCTGCAACGGCTGTAAAGTTTGGAAAAAAACAACAGCTAGGGCTGTTGCAACTTCAGTCACTAAACGAACTGCTGTAAGTCGGCTGCCTGTGTAAAAGGCACCCTGTTTGCTAAGCAAGACAGTGGAGTGAGTTTCGCCCCCTTTTACAGCCTTTCTCACCACGGTCGTTAAGTGAATCACTGCCATTGTCGAGCTAGCCACACAGACATTAAGCGAATCAGGGTTCCCCCGTTGTCTAGCTCATCGGAAGGCCGCAAAAGGGAGATCGCGGGACCCTGTCATAAATACAAGTGGGTTGCCAAGCGCCTGATCAGGGCAGCCACGGGGATGCCATGACGGTCATAAGTGTGAGAAATGTTCCTAGGGTCACTTTTTTTTCAATGCCGTTGTAACTTCCAAGTGGTCGCTAAACAAAAAATGGTTGCAAGTCCAGTACCCGTGCTTCCTTTCTCTCTCGACGGCTGATATCATTTCCATCTCTTCCACAGTCGGGATCCGGGGTGTCTGCTCTGCCGCCTCCAGATCTCTCATGGCGCTGAAGGCGGAGGCCCCCTTGACGGACTACACCGAAGTCGCTTCAGCCATCTCACGCTTCAGGGACAAGGAGAAGATGGCTGTTGATTCCCGGCTGCACCTCCGCCCCTCGGGGAGGCAGGATGGAGCCCTTGTGAGCCCCATGGAGAAAGGTGGGGGTGTCTTTTCTCACAAGGATGCGTGGGTGGCCCTGGGGAGACAACCCAACAAGGGATGTCCGGAGCCCTGGGCAGAGACAAGGCACTGGACAACCAATATTTATAAGCACCGGAGTGTCAGGATTCCACCAATTGCCCTAATTCAATCACGATTCTCGAGCCAAACTTCAAAAAACTTCCGAGGGTTTATTAGAGGCGACCTACTGGCGCTGCCCTGTATGAATCCAACTCTGGCCTATGTCATTTACAGTGACCCTGTTTCACCCCTCCCACCTGCGTGTGTCATAAATCAGATTCTCCAACTGAGCACCTTCACGGTCTGGGTGTCATCAATTACGTTCTCCAGTTAAATATATCCGCGGGCAAAAGCTCTGGTATTTGAGTTACATTCTTTTAAAGCTTAAGAGTTGGAATGTGCTTTGGCTTCCAAACTGCTGCACTGTTCCTCCAGATTTCCTTCCTCCTTTCCCCCTTTTTTATGGCAACTACTAAAACAGGCATAGGAACGTTTTGTGAGTTGACATGGGGATTTTAAGAAGGGAAGCGAGCTGTCTAATCCAAAGTGAGAGAGAGGTTTAGGATTAGGGCACGTATGAGAAGCGCTGGCGTGTAGCGTAAATCTTTGGCAAGAAGGAACGGTACAGGGGTTCTTGGAAAGCCGCCTGTTTTGGTTTATTTACGTTCCACCTTTATTACTTAAGTAAGTAACTCAAGGTGACAAACATATGTAATCCTCCTTCCTCTTTCTGCTCCTCCTCCTCCTCCTCTTTTGCCCACAACAACCTGTGTAGCGAGTAGGGTTGAAAGAGGGATTGGCCCAAAGTCACCCAGCCAGCTTTCATGGTTATGGTGGAACTAGAACTCACCGTCTCCTGGTGATTGGCCCAAAGTCACCCAGCCAGCTTTCATGGTTATGGTGGAACTAGAACTCACTGTCTCCTGGTGATTGGCCCAAAGTCACCCAGCCAGCTTTCATGGTTATGGTGGAACTAGAACTCACCGTCTCCTGGTGATTGGCCAAAAGTCACCCAGCCAGCTTTCATGACTAACCAGAACTAGAACTCACC